CTCCTCCCTGCCCCAAACCTCTCCTCTCCCTCCTCCTCCCACTCCTCCCCTCCCTCTCCTCCTCACCCTCCTCCCACGCGCGCACCGCTCACCTGTTCTTGCCGGTGACGAGTATCTTCGTGGGGTCCATCACACGGCAGGCTAGGCCAGCCGCGTGGATCGTGCGCAGCGCCGAACTCAGCTGCACCACGTAACCCCAGATCACGTTCTCCGGAAGTAGGCCGCGGTTGCTGCTGCTGCTGCCGCCGCCGCCGCCACCGCCGCCGAAGCCTTTACCGCCATCTTCAACGCAAGCAGACGTGCTAACGTGACACCCCGCAGGACAGGCTACAGTGAGACCCCTGCACGACACGCGGCTACCGCTGTAGAATTGTGCAACTAATCAGTACAGGTAGATCCCGTTTTATGATGGTCCATTTTACATTAACGCTCGTTTTAAAATTACCTAAAAAATTGTAACAAAAATTAACAACACATTGCAGCAACGCCTGCGAGTCCAAACACACAATATGCGCTTCTTTTGTTTTTCGTGGTGCGTTTGGGGTGGAATGACAGCATTTAATTGCATTACAATTTGGTCTTGTTTTACGACTTTACATTTCACGACCCCGTTTTACTGGAACCTAACCCTGTCGTAAAACAGGACCTACATGTAGTTCAGTGAAATCTCCAGCGGGAAAAACAAACCTGCGCATTTTCAGAGCGACATTTATTCTTTTTTCTCGAGCCCCCTACAGCATTGTATGATACCTAACTGGGTACCACTAATGCATGTGACGGAACGACATGCATTATATCACAAACCATCGCATCCTGCACAACACGCTATCGTCGCACGCCACGTGTGCACGAAAGAGGGGGGGGGGGGCTATGCAAGGCTACTACTATCACCCAATTACTCGTTTTGCCATTTCTCCAACTAAGCATGTCAGCGATAGACCATCTTGCTCGGCAGTACCCCAACCCCTTCTTTTGCAGTGGTCGTGAGAAAGCGTTTCATGTGTAGGTAAGTAGTTACATAGTTAACCTTCAATGCACAAAATATAATCCAAAATAATACTGGAATATATGTATCGCAATAAAATATATAATAATAAATATATATAATATGTAATGCATATGTTTAGGACGTGCATAGTATTAATAAGAGCACGTAAAGCATTTTTAGGCACGCAGAGACCTCTATTGGTCATTATTGACAACAACCGGCTGGGTAGACTGCCAGCCAAGCTTCGATGGTGAGATTCAGTAATATCTTCTGTACAGACTGTCTGATATATCTTCTGTATCTTCTGTACCCTAGAAGAGACTCGATAACTTACCCATGTGATGAGAATGCGAAGAGAAGTGGCGATACATCAGGGTTTCTGCTGCAGGGTGATAATCATGTGCAAATACCAGAGCTACAAATAAAGACAAACTAGTAGCACCACCTATGATCAAAAACATTCAACTTTGGTTTTACCTTACACGAATGAAACTTCACGTTGAGCCAAATTCAGCCCAAGTTAACTGCAGACTTGTCCACCTGAGATTTATCAATAAACAAAAACTTGATAAAAATGGTGGCGCATGACCTGTTGTACAGATATAAAAAATACTTTCCTACAATAACTGTAAACTTCGAGGGATATATGTGCAAAATTGTATTTCCTTAATAAATTGCTTCTACCGTACCTAACATACAGCATTCTACATGTACATGTACCTATAGCATTCTTACTGACTTGTCTAGAATCTATGGCCTTGATGGCCTACACTTGTAACTGCACATGTTTGTGCAATTAATATCTTTGATTAAACGAGCTTTTAAACATTATTATTGTAGCTTGTACATTCAACTGTAACACTGCTGTTCCCACCAACAAGTTGTCGCCCAAATAAAGACGGATTTCTGGTCATGTGGCCCACCACTGAGAAAAAGAACAACATCCCTGACGTACACAGTAGTAACTTTACTACTCACAGTGATCTCCGAATGCCTTGGTTGTGAACACCTCCCTCAGCTGCACAATGTTTGCATGCTGCAGCTTCTTCCAGAAATCCACGAGCTGCAGAGCTTTCGTGTTCACCAATCGGAAGCCTAACAAAACACAAACGACCGTCAGCCACGGCGCAGACTTTGGGACACTGCCAGCCTGTAAATACCCAATAACATTGCCGCGTTGATAGATGTCGCGTTTCATTAGTGAAGAGGGAGGACAGCCCAAGTGTAAGTTTACTTTGACACTGCAGGTAAATTACCATAACATTGCTTCCATTTATAGATGGATTTCATTTAGTAAGAGGAGAGACAGCAAGTATAAGTTACTTCGGTGACACTGGCAGTTACTCCATCAATCATTGCTTCCCATTCTCCTATAGATGCGTTTTTACTTAGGCTGCAGAGCGAGAGTCAGCGCAGTAATAACGTTCAGTAATCCGCATTGGCCACAGGTGCAACCGTGCCAGCCTGAGAAATGGCGCGCAATGGCTGCTTTAGGCTCCCGAATCTCAGTTCTCCCAAAAAACCACCGTTGGACTATGCAACCATCGACACAGGGCCGACACCACACACACAGGATGACTAGTAATACACCGCACCAAGAACCACGCTGCCAGCATCGAATACACACCCACCAACAGCCCTACGACTACCACCGACCCTGCGCCCACCCACCTCCGCCCCGTTCCCAGCGCCCGAGCCAATCTTGGATTCTGCCGCAGGCACGGAATAGGTCAAACAGCCCCCGCTCTTTAGTTTCCGAGCTAGGTGCACAGTCGCCTATGTAGACGGATAGAAGGATGGGCGGTCACGCTGCTAGACAGATCCAAACTGTGGTTCGACTTCGCCATCGGCCGCTGCGAAATAAATGCGCTCATCTTTCCTTGGTTGCGTTGACAGCGAGGCGGTTCCGAGTGCATCAGGAATCCAGATCGTAGGTGAAGGCGATCGCCGTGATTGCTCGTTCACCATCTTCAGAACTGTATATACCTGCAATGAATTCACTTTGATGACCCTA